CAGACCCTTTGCTTCAGACGGTCATAGTCTGCCTTTGCTGGTTAGTGCCACTGTGCCTTCTCTGCTGGTCTGCAAATCATGGAATCAGGCAAAGTTGCGGCTGGGGCTTGTCCTTGTTTGAAGATTAAGGTTGTTCTGTCGTCCTTGCATTTACCATTCATGCGATCATGCGAGTATCGAAGCGTCTTGTGGAGTCTTGTGCATCATGTTAGTGCAGCACGGAACGGAATGGTCATGGATCACTCCGACCCACTCCAACCCATAGCTTTGATGCATAAAATGCTTTTGTCGTTGTAATTCAACCTGAGGCCATCGCTCGTAGGTTGGAGGCCATCGCTTGTAGGTTGGAGTAGTAGGTTGGAGGCCATCGCCATCGCTCCTTTCTTTTTTTCGGTTGCCCATGGTCTGTGGCCGTCGGGTGGCCGCTCCGCTCCAGGACCAATACGGCTTCTTCCATGTCACGCGTTCGCTCCCGGAACTTGGAAGGTGCCCTTCGGTGCTCGGCACGTTGGGACCGAAAGCGATTTCTGCGAACAGCCTCGGAACGGTTGGCTGATCTTGGAACCGTTTGGCGTTTGCGGTCGGACCTTTTGCTCGGGGTGCTCCTTTCTGTTTTACTGGGCTCTCACATGTGGTAATACCACCTTTTCCTGAGGGTGCATGTTGCCTTTGCTTGCATTTTCCCAAAGGTTTGGCTGTGCAAAGTGCAAACGTGTTGAACTCTCTGTTGCCGCAAGTGACAAGTTGATCTTTGAGCTAGTTTCAAGCACATTTTATCATTTTCTTGTAAGCTCCAAATATATATGTAGTAGCAACCATCAATCACTGCTATTTTCTTCTGATCTCACTACTGCGAAAGGAGACTCTCCAACCTCTCCACCTTCGGGATAAGCATCAAAAAGCATGAAAAAAAGCATGGAACACTTTGATTAGTATCAAAATTGCAAAGATTGTTTGGTTGACTGGTCCCCTGGTTCCCTTGATCCCAGCATCCATCAGCATCCCCCGGTTCCCCCTTATCCCTTGATCCTCCGGTTCCCTTGATCACCTGGTCCCTTGGTCCTTTGGTCGCTGTTTCCATTGCTCCTCGTCCCCAATGTCGCTGGTCCCCTTCGTTCCCTTCTTACTTTGGCGTTCTGGGATGCTTATGATGGATGTTCCATGGAGCAAGCGTAGGTGAACAGTGGACTGGAATCATGCGAAGGTTGAGTCAGGTCCCAGGCGACAAAGGGCAGACGTAAGGATAATAGGCTGTGCCCTCCCCCGAACTCCCTCCTGAACCACGCACATGCTATGCCTAGCTCCGGCTCTGCCACGAAACCTGCTGCTTTATATCAGCGGTTTTTGCGGGTTTGCTTGGTTTCCTGTGTGTCCTACGCTATGGTCTGCAGGGTGAAGGTATTATTTAGAACCATTGCAAATCCAGTTGTGGCCCCACTCCAGTGGAAAGTTTACAAGAGACCCCACACAGCCAGCCATTGTTGGCCACGTGAGGTTCAAATTTAAGGCAAGCATGAACCATCCCAAACCCAAACCTTACACGTCAAAGGGCCAACCAAGGGCAAAATTCAAAACAGGTCCAACCATAGTGTACACGCCCTCTTGTGAACTACCCTTTTGCAGCCCACCCCAGGGGAAAATGTTTGACAAACCTTATATATACCCTTTTCTAGGCCATTGAAGGGTAAAAATTCTGGTAGTGAGGAGTTTTCTGGCTCATGCACCCTTTTGTGGGGCAAGTGCGGGTTGAATTTCGATCAAGATGGAAGCCATTCTAACCTGTATGCGCCGGCGCATCAAGCAAGACGTTGTCAGACTTGACATTTGTTTTTCCGCCCCAGGGTGAAATTTCCAACAAACCTTACCCCCCTTTGTTGAGTGCTGTAAACGAAAAATCTTTTTGATCTCTATCAATTGTCCTTTCATGTTCTTTTTCATCTAAAGCACTTCTTTTTAGTTCTGTATATCAATCATTTTTGATCCCTGGCCCCCACCTTCAGCCTTCAAGTGAAACAAGTGGTACATGGGCGATTCCTCCATCTCCAGGCGTGCTGGCTGAGCTGGATCAAGAGGAGGCTCCCAGGAGGTCTCCGGATCTGGAGGCCGAACCGGACCGCCAGACACTCGGGAGCACGGCGAATGGTCTGACAGGCGAGTCCTTGGAGGTCTTAACGAACACCTGAGGAAGTTCTAGAATTTCTAGATGAATGTCAAAGATTTCAAGACCAGACATGCATGCAAAGGCTTGGGGCCTTGGTAGTCAAAAGCTGAAGTGTCTATCTTGAGGGCCACTAGCTCGTGCAGGAAGTGATTGCAGAACTCATGGCTCAAATGGTGCGGCAGCAGGACTTGTGTAGTCTTTGTGGGATGGTGCTAAGGCTAAGGAATGACTGGCAGACGATCAGTTGCATAGACCCAGCTGGTAGAGATCTGAGCTATGCTGGCCACATCTTCGCAGACGTTTCAGCGACCGACCGGACCCTCAAAATGGCCTGTATTTGTCGGTTGGATTGTTGATGAGTTTAGTTACTGTATGTTACTGTAGTTTGTACTTGTAATTGTAGTATTAGGATTGTGCCAAGTTATGGGACATGTTTCAGGTGATGGGTTGTCCTGGGCAGGACACGCCCCGGCGCAAAGGACCCTTCAGTAGAGGAGCGCCGACCGACTCCAATTGAAGGTGAATGGATACCATGGATACTTTTTTTCTTTTTCGCAAGCTGTTAAAGGCATGCTTTCGGATTTTCGTGGATCCAATTGCAGCAATTTCCATGAACTTGCGCTGACTCGACTCTAGTCGTGGGTCAAGGAAGGGTGAGTCAGAGGCCTCAGAGGCCTCATGTCATGAGATGCCACCAATCGACTAAGACCATCGTGCTATGACGATGGTCTTGCTTGATGATTCACTTGTCACCTAGAACGACTTTCAACTGTGACGGCATTGATCAACGCTGAAGCGACTGAGTATTCGTAAGGATATCAGTTGAATGGGAGGTTGCTAAGATTAGAGTCTTCTTGGGTTTGACTTCGGTCGTAATCGGCTTTGAGTAAGCCCTAATTCAAGCGGTGAACGTTCCTCCTGCAAGTATCTACATTCCCATCGATAGAATTCCCTTGTGGCAGCTCAACTAAGCTGAAAGTTCAGACCATCGGACACTCCCTCAAGGGAGCTCTTTGTTCAAGACCAGAGTCCATTTCTGAGTCCAAACATGTCCAAATCCCATCAAATCCCTTCATTTCCAAAGGGTCCAAAGACCATCAAATGAGTTCAAATCCCATCAAATCCATACATTTTGTTTTGTTCAGATCCCTCATTTCTTCTACCTTTTTGGGTCCAAAGACCCGCGGTCCTTTTCTTTTTCTCCGCCAGATCTGATGAGCCCGATGGTCAGCGAGAGCGATTCTCCAGGAGAGCGATTCGCCTGAAGGGTCGGACCTGTTGGAAGAGAGCCAGGAAATCCTTCCAGGAAGGCCTTCCTTGGAAAGATTACTGATGGTTCAGCCTGATCATGTGCTGATCAGCATAGAAACCGTTGTGTATCCAATCATATCCTATCCAGCTGGCGGGAGCGACGTCTCCCAAGGAACACCGAATCAGAAGCGTTTAGGTCTTTAGGAGTTTGGACTGTTGAAACTTACGTTGTCGCCGACCTTGAAGAGCCCAAGCGACGTTCCGTGAATTACTGCGGGCTGAAGTTGCCCAGAAGATGGACCGATGGATGGTCGAAGATGAACCGCTTCCAGCTCATTCAGTGAAACATCGACCTGGTTTGCTTGGGGCCTGGGCCCATCTGGGCCCCAGGGTTTTCGTTTGATAACATGACCTGCATCGCCTGCAGGACGCCCCACTTCGAGTCAGCTGTCAAACCCACGCCGCACGGGGCCCAAAGAGGAGGTTGAGGTGCTTGATTTTGCGCACATGTAGGGCGAGCATTCAGCATTTAAACTTTAAACATCAATCCGGACAAGGAATGGATGTGATTTGTTGTAGAGGAAGAGGTCCGCAGTTTGCCGAGAAAAACTCGTAGATTTGGGAATCGGCGACTATACCATGCAAGAATGACCTGATGGAATCAACTGTTGATTGCTTCAAGGATAGATGCATGAGTTCCTAACTGGGACCGAACTTGGACCGATGTTGCACCATAGGGGCGGTGGTGGCGTCCATGTCGCGGCACGAGTTCTTCTTGGATGACGAGCTAGGAGACCGGCTGCCATGACCAGACACGGACCGTGTAATTATATACAATTATATATCAACCAGAAGAGACGCTTCGCAAAGGAACATGAGCTGCATCCGGTGGAATTGAAACGCTTGGGGTCCACCTTGGCCCTTGAACGAATGAAGTTAGTTGATGGATTTCCTACATCAGGAATATTCAAGAAGCCCAAGACCAAGCGCTGATACTTCTTGGGTACAAATCTTCACGCATGAAGAGTGGTGCCAAGCTGTTTGGATGATTTGCTAGGACCTGATGTTGCCTCGGATCATCCAGAAGATGCTGGAGGATGAAGCACCAAGACTAGTGTCAGTTGGTCGAAGCACTCTTCACTCACATGCAGACCTGAACTTTCCTTTTTTTCTAATGTTTGAAGCAGCACAGTGGGGACGGCACCTGACTTTTGCGGCAGAATATAAATTGGTAGCCTAAACACCTCTTCTTCGCCTTGAGCATAACCTTATGCTACAAAAGCCAGCCAATAGGCCAGGCTGAAGTGCTAGATGGGCGAACGAAGTGAGTATTAGGGTGTGTGTGTGTGTGTCCCCTCCTGTTCCCAAGGTCCCAAGGATCTCGACCACACTAAGCAATTCAAATCAACTTAATTCAGGGGCAGGGGGTCGCTGGGGATTCGTGCAGTCAGCGACCAACGGAGACGCTGCACGTCTCCTGCGGAAACGTACCTGCTATGGTGCACTTGGTTGCGTAATAATCATAATAAGACGCAGCTGGTGGCCACCCCTCCTTTTCAATCCGCTGGTAAAGTGCTACTGAGTCCATGTTGAAGCTTTCTGTTGAGCTGACCCGTCACTCTTACGGTTCTGCAAGTCAAGCGCTAAGTACTCGGTAACTAATGCATGGGGATGTCACAACTGATAGAGCTCTTGCAAGCAATGATCTAAGTGTGTCTCGCAGCATCGTGCCACTGTGGTATGCTGTGTGATCCCCGCCGAGGGGCGCATTGAGCATAGACCCTTCAGGGGGAATTGTCAGAGATTGCTCGTCCTGCATGATCGTCCATCCCCTGAACAGCCGCTTGCTCGAGACTGCTGAACACATGCCGCAGGGCCCACTGACTTTCTCACAGAATGACTTGCATCACGCGTCTACGTATTCATAGGACCATGTCATGCAGCCTTATAGGCAGTTTCACAACCAACTTGCTTTCTTCTTTGTGTTTCGTTTTCGTTTTCGTTTCTTCTTTCGTTACTAGAGGCTTTTTAGGTTCCAGGCTAACTTTTAGTCAAGTGCTAAGTATTCACTTCAACGTTTCACACTTAGTAATTAATGCACGGTCTTCCTTTTTCTCCTTCTAGGATTTTTCGTTTCTCTCCAGGTTTTCGTTCGTTCCTAGAGGCTTTTTAGGTGTCAGGTTCAAGGGTGCGCCGATTTCGGCTTTCTGGCCAGTGCCATTGGGCCCGTGCCTTTTACCCCGCCCCACACGCACCCCGCACCTTTTCTCTCCTTTCCTTCTTTTTCTCAGGCTTGTTAGGTTGCGCTTAGGCTCGTTTAGTCGATGCACTTTTTCCCCCTCGCCCCCTAATGACACAAGTGAGAATTCAGGGAGCGCCGATGTCGGTGTGTGTGTGTGTCCCCTCCTGTTCCCAAGGTCCCAAGGATCTCGACCACACTAAGCAATTCAAATCAACTTAATTCAGGGGCAGGGGGTCGCTGGGGATTCGTGCAGTCAGCGACCAACGAAGACGCTGCACGTCTCCTGTGGAAACGTACCTGCTATGGTGCACTTGGTTGCGTAATAATCATGACGCAGCTGGTGGCCACCCCTCCTTTTCAATCCGCTGGTAAAGTGCTACTGAGTCCATGTTGAAACCTTCTGTTGAGCTGACCCGTCACTTTTACGGTGCTGCAAGTCAAGCGCTAAGTACTCGGTAACTAATGCATGGGGATGTCGCAACTGATAGAGCTCTTGCAGGCAATGATCTAAGTGTGTCTCGCAGCACCGTGCCACTGTGGTATGCTGTGTGATCCCCGGCGAGGGGCGCATTGAGCATAGACCCTTCAGGGGGAATTGTCAGAGATTGCTCGTCCTGCGTGATCGTCCATCCCCTGAACAGCCGCTTGCTCGAGACTGCTGAACACATGCCGCAGGGCCCACTGACTTTCTCACAGAATGACTTGCGTCACGCGTCTACGTATTCATAGGACCATGTCATGCAGCTTTAAGGCAGTTTCACAACCAACTTGCTTTCTTCTTTGTGTTTCGTTTTCGTTTTCGTTTCTTCTTTCGTTACTAGAGGCTTTTTAGGTTCCAGGTTAACTTTTAGTCAAGTGCTAAGTATTCACTTCAACGTTTCACACTTAGTAATTAATGCACGGTCTTCCTTTTTCTTCTTCTAGGATTTTTCGTTTCTCTTCAGGTTTTCGTTCGTTCCTAGAGGCTTTTTAGGTGTCAGGTTCAAGGGTGCGCCGATTTCGGCTTTCTGGCCAGTGCCATTGGGCCCGTGCCTTTTACCCCACCCCACACGCACCCCGCACCTTTTCTCTCCTTTCCTTCTTTTTCTGAGGTTTGTTAGGTTGCGCTTAGGCTCGTTTAGTCGATGCACACTAAGCAATTCAAGTCAACTTAATTCATGGGCAGGGGGTCGCTGGGGATTCGTGCAGTCAGCGACCAACGAAGACGCTGCACGTCTCCTGTGGAAACGTACCTGCTATGGTGCACTTGGTTGCGTAATAATCATAATAAGACGCAGCTGGTGGCCACCTCCTTTTCAATCCGCTGGTAAAGTGCTACTGAGTCCATGTTGAAGCTTTCTGTTGAGCTGACCCGTCACTTTTACGGTTCTGCAAGTCAAGCGCTAAGTATTCAGTAACCAATGCACGGGGATTTCGCAATTGATAGAGCTCTTGCGAGCAATGATCTAAGTGTGTGTGTGGGGTGGTCGCGTGTCACCGCTATAAAGACCTCAGCCCAGAAGGCAATGTGGGAGGACCGTCTTTGTACAGAAAATCGCCGAAAGACCATTTTTGACAAGCGCTCATGTTTTGTTCTAGAAGCAGTGAACGCGTAGAACACCATCCAAGCGGTCCAATAGAGGGTGGGTGGAAACGCACTGTGAACAACGGACTCAGCGAAAAGGCCATGTGTGGTGGTGGTGCCCCTTTTCAACGTTTTGTCAAAGTATGTCAAAGTTTTGGTGAAAAAATAGGGCACCAGAAAAGAAGCGCTATCCTCAGGGATTTATATAGTCGGGTCTCCTAAAACTACAGCTTGAGATGAACTGTCGATGCAGGTGTCAAAGACCGTCGATAGACGCAGGTCTTGGTTGATGCCCCTTTGCGCATTGTTTAGGGCCGTCTCGGGCAAAAAGGGGCACGAAGAGCGGGTTCTGGCGATAAGGCCCATGACAAAGCAAAACATGGCAGATGTATCCTCGAACACTTTGATTGAATCTTGCAACCGCTGCTTTAGATGAATGGTCGATGCAGGTCCGGGTATGGAAAGACACTGTGTTCTACAAATCTAAATGCAGAGAGCAGAAGAAACACCCTTAAACCGCATTTCTGGGTTGGTGCCCTGCTGAGCTTTGTGTGAGGACAATCTCACAGCAAAAGAAGGGCGCGTCTGGAAAAGTGGGCTCTAGCAACATGAGAACCAGAAAACCTTCAGAAGAAGGTTGTTGCTGCCCTTTTGGGCTTTGGTTGGAGGCCACCTGAGGGCAAAAGAGGGCACCTCCAAAAAACGGGTTCTAGCAAGAGGACATTGGACAAAGCAGGACGCGGCAGGTGCATCTTCGAGCATTTCAATTGAATCTTGCATGAAAAGGGCATTATCAGGCTGTTTGTGCGGGAGTGTTGAAGACTCGCTTCTTGAGTGAAACACATTGCTCTGTGTGTCTACGAGGGTGGGTTTTCGTCCCTTCACTTCTCAGGTTAGGCTTGCTACTGGTTTCCCTTCGATAGGCTGCTGATGTGAACTCTTTTGTGGACAGAAACATCATTGCTGCTCAAAAGCAGGGACCGGAAAGAACACACGATTCCTACCGGGAAGGCCATTTTTCTTCGAAGGATCATTCCTTCCCTGCATTCGATGTGGAGGAGACGAACCTGATGAACCAGGTTTGCCCAGTCGCTCATCCTCGCACCGAGGAGATTGGGTCAGGAGGTTTAGATGTTTGACGTTTTTTGTTTCAACAGAAATGACAAGATGAGCTTTGCTGGACAGTGAGAGGGTTCTTCCATGCATTTTGCACTTATTATATAAGAACACTCGATGTTGTAAGCTTGTAGAGAGCAAGATGCAGAGAACAATCCAAAGGCTTTCTGAGAGATGTTTTTTGGAGTCTCTCGTCACACGTTTTTACCCATGGCCATGTGACAAACGAAGACGCAGCAAACATGGGTCCCTGTTGATTTACAATTCATCTGGGTTTTGCACTCGTAGCAAACACTTGACTTGATTTTTTGACCCGTCGAGGAGATGTGGGTTTTGATACAAAAGGACGAGCATGGACAAACACAAGGTTTGCAGAAATTCACTAGAGATGTTTTGAGATCCACCATGTGAGCAGCACACCTGTTGGCTGACAGAGGCCCGGCTTCATGGAATTGTAGTAAACGCTGGCATGATTCATTGCAGATCCTTCTTCAGTAACACACATCATTTAGCAACCTTGAACACCCCCTTCCATGGACAATATGTACAGTACCGCGCTGTGACGCAGTGTGCTGACCTCAAAGTTTGGCTCGATTTGAGCATGTTGAACATCTTATATAGATGTATATAGATGTAGTTCATTGATATTTTCCAATTGAAGGCACTGCAAAAGGGACGAGGAAACAACATGTATATTGCTTTCATTCAGACAACATCATGCGTCTCGTGGCATGGCAACAAAGGAGACGGTCTACCTAGCCCTTCGTCGTCCCGGCGAGGACGAGGAGATTTGTTGGGAGGTTTCAAGAGAAACGGCTGATCATAATCCTTTGCCCACACACCACCCAAGCTGGATAGCTACAAGCACAGCTACCAGGCACAGGGGTACGCACTGGGGCAACCGGCTCTGAAGGCTACAGCTGCTCACGCACAGAAACAAATTGTACTGAAAAAGATTGGACAGGAAAGTCCTCCATGCCATCACGGGAATAGTTAGTCGCTTGCGATTTGATATGACATGAACAACTGAAAAGCCGCTTTTCGTGTGGGTTCATCACTGGTGGCGTTTATAGGAGAGGCTGAAACATAGGTTTTAAACTGCAGATCAGTGGCCAATTGATTATGTGGGATCATATCCTGCGAGGAGCAATTCTGCTGGCTGACACAGGACGGTGTGAC